ACCTAGCTAGAAATCTCTACTTGCATATGTAAATCGTTTCTATTCATAAACAGAAGATGGGTCCGAGTTTGGTGCATCGTCTGTAACCGGAGACAGTGATGAGGAGGATCTTGATCATCATCTACTTACCACACCAAGCAGTGATGTGGCATTTTTGAAAGATAAACCAGTGAAACTTGCAAAGGATGTTCTTTAAATTTCAGTTTTGGTTTACTTATTAGTTTTGTAATGTTTGTGGTGTTTGTACTAGAATGTGTAAATCTATTGTATTTTGTTGAAGACATAGACATCACCTTGTTGTCTGAGTGCTGTATTGGTGTTTGTTGTGCATTTAAAATGCACGGTAAATTTGACTTGGGTTTTCTCATGCTCCACATAGTTGATTGCGGCATGATTTTGGGCGGAAGAGTTTTGTGTGACATCTTCCTTTCTCAGCTGGACTCAGTGAAGAACATGTTTTGATGATTGAGATACGTGTATTGCTTTTGCTCCATAACTATCTTGTAACCAACTATTGTTATTTGTGATGATTGTTACTGACCAATTGTTCTGTATTCCTAAAACTTGGTTTTTGGTCTCCTCTTGTGAATCCTGAAAATGCTCACCTCCAATTATTCATGCAATGGCCTAAGGGTTGCTTGATACAAATTTATTCGAGTTTTGATTTGTTTCATTGGTTAACTAGAGTTATATTTGAAAAAGTTTGAAAAAGTTTGTGGGGGGTTAAGTTTGAGTGGAATTTTAAATTTATATTAAAAAATATTTAAAATAAAATAATATTATAACTTATAATACTCCTGCAAAATGGTCCTGCAATATATTAAAAATTTTAATATTATATTCATAAATATAACTTATAATACTCTATGTTTAAAATTTAATATCAGTTTGTAACTTATAATATTAATATTATATGCATATAAATAACTTATAATATTTTATTTATCTCTGTGCAAATGTACATGATCGAATACTAGTTGACTTAAAATTAAAATTAGATTTTGAGTTTAACAAAATTGATCAGTGTTCTAAAAGTCGTTAGGCGCTCGACCAGCGCCTAGAAATCAATATTAAATACCTTATTTTTTATGTATTTTAACTAGCTACAAAATAAAACTATCTCAACTTATAATAAATCCACACACCTAAGTCCAAATAATATTATTAATATATTTTAAAGAAAACATGAGAACAAAATAATGTAATTAGTATTAAAAAAATAAAAAAAAACTGAAAAATTACCGCCGAACCCGCCTAGGAGCGCCTAGGTCCGCCTAACCGCCTGGCTGCTGAGCCCGCCAAGTCCGCCTAGGAGCGCCTAGGCCTGCCTAGGCGCCGCCTAGCCGCCTGGCCAATTTTTTTTGTCGATTTGTGCAAATTGGATGCGCTCGGGCACCGCCTAGGCAACAGTGAAATTAATATTTGGCATCCAAGCACTCTCATTGAAAAAAAGTCTCCAATTAAATTTTCTTTTGAGTCTCCTACTCTTCACAGTACAGTACAAAAAAACACCCGCAAAAACCAGATCAATCATCAATCGATCCATTGCGCTTCCCTATTTCTCGCAAAAATTCCTGGAAGACAAAGTCAAAATCCCCCCACAAGGCAAAATTCCAATCATATCGGACAAAAAAACATGCCTTTTTCGCTATCATCACGCTCTGTATGCTCGCTGATCTTCAGCTTATTTGCCTCCTCTTTCATCCCCGTATCAGTTTCTGTACCTTTCATCGTTCTCCATGGTAGGCTTTTTTTTTTTTTTNCTTTTTTTTTTTTTTCGATTTCCTGTTCATTTTCGCCATTGTCGGAGCTGTTTTTCTGTGTTCCGCAGTATTTATTTCATCATTTTTTTCTTTGTGGGTTTCTGATTTTTGGTTGTAACAGGAATTGGAGACCAGTGTTCAAACAGAGGAATGAAGCAATTTACCCAGGAACTCAGCGAATTCTCTAAATCTAAAGGATACTGCTTGTGAGATTTTCCCTCTTGTTTTCTTCATTAGTTTGGTTTACGTCACCTTTTTCGGTTTAAGAACTGTTATGGCTGTGTGAAAAGCAAAGTAAATTTTGGATTTTGAAATATTATGCGGGTTTCATGTCTATGTGAGAAAGAAGAGAAATTAGGTACCATAGGAAAATAGGAGATATCAATGGAAGGTTTAAGTTGCCATTGAAAACAAGATGTCGCGTGAGGAAGAAAAGAAATTAGGTACCATATGAGATATCAATGGAAGGTTTAGGCAATGAATACAAGTTTTTTTTTTTCGTTTTTGTTTGGCTAGGTGAAATTANCTTAAACTGTTAAATCAATCTCACGTTGTTCTCTACAATTCAATTGAAGGCATGTTTGGTAAATTAAATCTAGTCGAAAATCTAGTTAATAGCTTATAAGTGAATTTCGAGCTTATAGTTGATAGTTTATGGCTGATTGTTGAAAGCTAATTCATATAATAAAAGTGTTTTGGTGAAATTAGTTGAGCTGAAATAAAAATTTCAATGGACTTTTTTGAAAAGCTACATAGAGAAGTTTATGGAATTAGCTCAAATTTTTCAAGAAAGCTCATCCTACCAAACCAAACTTATTTGAATATAAGAAGCTTATAAGGTAACTAAATAAGCTATGAGCTAACTTATGGTGATTAGCAAACACTCTAACAATTTCTATTTTCAAACCTCTAGGGAAATTGGAGACGGATCATGGGATTCTTGGTTTAAGCCCCTACAAGAACAGGTTAGGGGAGAGCATTCCACAATCTCGAGTCTTATATGTCTTGGTTGATTTATTTTTTCAAGTGATATTGATTTTATGTTTCTTCCATTTGACCTGCAGACAGAAATCGTATGCAATAAGGTGCGTATTGAAGTTGTGAATACTTAAGTTGTTGATTGGCTGGTCGCCTTCTGACTGTTGTGGATTAAACTTCAGGTGAAGCAAATGAAAGAACTCCGGGAGGGTTACAACATTGTTGGTCTTTCACAGGTGATTTACTTTCTTCTTTTTTTTTTCTTTTTCTTTCTGGTTAGTGGTTACTTTATTTCTGACTGTGCCATTGTATGGTAATAATGTTGAGGAACATAATTTAATTTTTTTTAAAAAGAAACATTTCTAAAATTTCGGTGGAGTTTTATTTTCCTTTATCTTGTTATTTTTCATGCTTGAGATTAATTAATCACTTTCTTGTTTTTAAGTGCTTGAAAAGTTAACTGTAGCATTCTGATAACTATCTTGATTGTTCATATAGGGTAACTTAATAGGTCGAGGTGTTGTGGAGTTCTGTGATGGTGGACCACCGGTAAGAACTATATGAAGCAATTTTTCTAGTTTAACTTTTGTATCTACGCCATTACATCAGACAAAATCTTGTTACAAATTTTTGTAAGAGAGGTCCGTGCCTAATGTAATAAGCTGATATAAGCCTCGCAACCCTTTAGATATTGATGACATTGATGACATGGTATTTTATTCTTCGATTTTTTATTTGATGTCAGGTAAGGAATTTCGTATCTCTAGGAGGACCTCATGCTGGTACTGCTTCAGTTCCTCTTTGTGGTGTAAGTGGTACTTCCGTATGTGTGATAATTTATAAACAGCACAGCACCTTTAATATCTCCTTTTCTAAAGGCATATTTATTTTTATGAAAAGCCACTTCGATATTATTCAGTTTGTTTACAAAACACCATTTGAGGCACTTTCAACCTGAACTCCTATTTTTAAGTCAGTAATCACTTTTTATTCGATAGTTTGCTTCCCTGGATCACTTAATTGAAATAAGGTTCAGATTGTGACCTTAGGTTGATGAATGTGGCAATATCCTTGATTACAAATAATATGATCTAATGGATCTCTTTCGGTTGCTCGAATCAGTATTATTTCAATTGACGTTTCAAATTCGGATAGATTCTTTAAAAGATTTGTAATTTCGGTAAACTGCATTCAAGCCAAGGACTTTCCAGAAGACAGATGATTGCGGTGTATAGTTGTTGGTATTTTATTTATTTTCAAATAACATTAATACTCTTGTGGAAGTCTCTATTTCTTTTGTTGGAGCTTGGGCCTGAGTCCCTCATTGCTTCTCAATGTCAAAATTTATCTCTGACAAACCCCAAGTTTTGAAAATTCCTGTTAACTTTAATTTAACACAATTAAAAAAAAAAAAGTAGAAGTGTTGATTGAATGTGATTTGAATCTTTCTATGTGATGATTATATATTGACTAGTAGCCTTCTATTTCTGTTTGTAGAATGTAACAGAACATATACAATAAATGACTATCTCAGAAATTAAAGTTTTTCACATTGGAATAATAACAAGAGTACCAATTTGCTGCATGGAAAAAACATTGTCGAAGCAGAACACAGACATCTAGAAATCAAAAAGAACATTTTGTGACTTGCCAAGTTAAAATAATAATTATCACATTTCTAGAGCTTATTGAGCTGTGGCATCACTATGAGATTGTAGTATGTCTTGTGAATTATATCTGGTTCTTTTGATTTAATAAATAATAAAAAAAGTGCACCTTCTTTGTATTCTTCACCTCTTTCCTCGTCTAATCGCTTTTTATGATTCCAAAGTATTTAACGACTGATCTGACAATGGCTTGTTTTTCTCAGACTGGTATATTTTGCATTATAGCTGACGCTCTAATCAAATCTGAGATCTACTCCGACTATATCCAAGTATGCGTACCACTTTATTTCTTATGCAAGGGGAACAATAAGTAAATCATTTATCTGAATTTATCGCTTGCTTGTTAATATGCAGGCTCACTTGGCTCCTAGTGGCTATCTAAAGCTTCCTAATGTGAGTATTTTTAGTATATTTTTGCATGAATTAGACTAAGTTAATGAAATAATGGGTTTCATACCATTATTCCTCATTTTTCATATGAGTTATTAACTCCGTAACATAGTTCTAATTATTTTCTAGTTTTTTATTTTCAGAATATTGATGGCTACCTGACCAAATGTAGATTTCTGCCGCGGCTTAACAATGAACTCCCTGGAGAAAGGAACAACACTTACAAAGAACGGCTTGCTAGCTTACAAAATCTTGTCCTTATCATGGTAATTTTACCTGTCATGTGTTTTTTCTTTCACGCATAATTGTAATCAGTAAATTACATAGGTTACTCTTCATGACTCTTAATTTTCTTTCCTCTCGTATGAACAGTTTGAACATGATACCGTCTTAATACCAAAAGAGACCGCTTGGTTTGGATATTATCCAAACGGGGTATTTGATCTGATTTTGAGACCACAACAGGTTTCAACATTTTTTCTTTAGCTTGCTTTTATTATCTCTAAATAAATCTCACGTGATAATATAATTGTCCTATAGATGTTCCATTTTTACATATTTATCTTAGAATGATAGAAGTGGCAAATTTATGCAATGATTTAATGTATAATGTGATCAATTTCTGAATCATCAAATTATTCTCTTTATAACTCAATAGTTCGGTTTCTATATTCACGATTGTATGCTCAGCTTGCCAAATTTTTTTATCCAAAACTCATATTTGAACCTAAGAAAAGCAGGATTAACTCACCTATACGAGTTCTAATGAGGTTTTGCATGTCAAATAATCCACTGATGTGTGTTTTATATGCTCTACTTTGATAGTGCAGCATTGAACTATTTGTTACAAGTTACTTTAGATAGAATTTAGTAATTAATTACAGCTTTGGATAATTCAAATGCTGTACTCATACCAGTTTCTTATGTCCAGACGGAACTCTACACAGACGATTGGATTGGTTTGAAAACACTAGATGATTCCGGAAGGTTGAAGTTCATTTCAGTGCCAGGAAATCACCTTGGAATCTCAGAAAATGACATGAAAAAACACGTAGTTCCCTATTTAGAGGACGAAAAACTTAAACAAGGTAATGAGATTGGGCCGAAATTTGATCGATCAAAAGAGGGCAAATCTGCAGAGGTAGTATTTGACGGTTCATCATCTTACCGTTTGATTATGTGAGGTTGTAATGTGTACTGTGTTTATTTTCTTGGTTCGATTATGTGAGGTTGTGCTTTCATTTGATGATGGATACATTTGCAAAGTGGAAAATTTGATGTTGATTAGGATCAGAAGTTAATGTTTTGAACTTCATCACTACAAATGTATTTCAAAATTTAATGTTTTGAGGGCGTGTTTGTTTGTAAATAAATCTGTTGAAAATGAATTTTTTCGAGTTAATCTGAAAAAATTGAATGTTTGTTATTAGTTGGATTTTGATTTTTTATTAAGATAATATTTAAAATAAAATATTAAAATTGATTTGATGTAAAAGTATGAGCGAAATGATGAGTTTGTTAAAATTATGTGAGTAGATGAATAGTAAATTAAACTTGATATGATGTGTAAAAATGATTAATTTATATTATTTAATTATATTAATAATATTGAAGATGGTGAGGTTGGGTTGAAGTTAATTAGATTTTGAGCATGAATTTAATGTGAATGAATTATTTTGCAAACAAACATGCTCTCAGTCTTCAAAATTTCACATCAAGTATGAACGCAACTTAAGTAATGTGTGAGACAAAAATAACCAGTGGATTTTCATTATTTTAATTTGTAATTAACATATAAATTCCTAGTAACATATCTATACTTATATTAAAAAGTATACCATTTACCAGATTTAGTATAAAGAAAAGTCAACAACATTTATTGCATTACTATTTCCGTATTATACAATCTATACTTATATCAAAAGAGATTCTATTTACTATATTTACTATCCAGAAAAGTCAACTGCATTAAATGCCATTACTATTTTGTTATTATAATATTTATTTATTTAATTGATTTATTTATTTGTTTTATTTTAAAAAGGTAAGTATAATAAAAAAAATTTAATAATAAAAAAATCAAATACCAAATAAAAATGTACACTTTGACTTATTTGATTATATTTGGTATTTGATTATACCAAATATATTCCTATTTAGTATATACATTAATACTTACTAAAGTATTTATTTGTTTTATTTGTCAAAGTTAAGTATAGATTTGTTTATATTATCAAATTATAAAAAAAATATTAAATCCATATTGTAAAAAAAAAATCATATAATTTTATAACAATTCTACTACACTATTTAACAATATTTCTTTTTTATTATATAATAAAATAATAATTAAATATTATATGGTGAATAACAATAAGTAAAACTGTTACTTTCTCTTATATCAAGGGATAAATTTATATGCTAAACTTAAATTTTTATTAGTATAAATGTTTTAGTGAGATTAATATATTAATTATTTTACAAGCTAGCCCTAACATGCTCATATTTAATGTTTTAAAAGATTTAGAAAAAAAGACTTATAATAACTCTATTGTTTTTTAGACTTAAACGTAGATTAAAAGAGGTAAAAATTCTTAATTTTTTAGACTTAAACGTTAATTAATTCCATAGATTGAGAGTTTATATTTAGTAAAATTCCTAATTGTAATAAAAAAATTAATTTTTGCTATATTTTAAAATATCTTTAAATTCATTATAAAAAAAAAAAGAAAAAAAAAACTACAATTAAAAAAGCAAGTCAGCTATATATCGATTTGTTGTACTCCTCAAATCACATTCATAATTTGGCTACAAGGAAATGAAACTCATTGATTAAAATATTATTTTGTCAGTAGTCTTAATGTACAAGAGACTTTAAGACTCCACTTGAATATTATAAAACTTTTATTAAAAATTGTACAATTTTCTTGCGTATTATAAACTTTATTGAATATTACATCTTATAATATAATATTCTTCAAATAAATATATCTCGTGCTTTGCACGGGTCACGTACTATATATATCCCGTACATTTTTCTTTATTCATGTATATAATTATAAGTTTGGATAAATAGCCTTAAAATTGTGCACCCTGTGCATCGCACGGGCTCTGTACTAATAATTATAAAGTGAATAACGCTAGCTAAATCAAAGGAAATAGATGGAGTGGATCAAAAGTATACTACACATCCATTGAATTATTATTGTTATTATCCGTCAGCTTTAATTTATTAAAATCTTGTATTCATCTTAATTTAATTCATTTTTTCTTTAATTTCTTTCTCTGCTGCTGTTATCCATGTCTAACTTTAATTATTACAATCTTATATTCATCTCAAAGTTATACTCCAATTTTTTTCCAATTTTTTTTGCATTTCTTCATTTTAGGGAAGAAAAAAAAAATATATATATATAACCCACCCTAAACAATCCAAAGGCATAATGCCCCCAACCTGTAAGAGTTAAATTTAAACCTGTAATTATACATGAACAAAGAAAAAAACCTTTTAATTTATTAGTAAAACTCAAAATTATGGGTGGCCATTCAAAAACATCATCAGTTTTGGTCGTCTTCATGGCGTTGACTGGCCAGCTTTTTATTGGCAGACTTCTTCCTCAGCCCCTCTGCCCTTCATTCTCTTCCATGGTACCTTTCGTTTTTCGTTAATCTTTTTTAATTAATTTTGTGCATTATTTTTAGTAGATTCTTTTTTTATTTTTTCCTACACTTAATATAGGGCTTAATAGTCAGTGCAACAACCCAGAGCTTACAAGGTACCTGAAGATTTTAACAGAATGGTCCAATGCCAAGGGATATTGCATGTATGCTACTTTCATTTCTTTTTTCTTTTCTTTTTTTTTTTTTTCTTTTTTTTCTTGCCTTATGTTNAAATTACATAATATTTTCATTTTGACCCTTTTAATTAGTCCTTTTTAATATAAATTGTTTAATGCTAGTATTATACATGAAAGGATATGGCAAAATCTTTTATTTTTTCCCCCCTAAATGTTGACCTGATTAATTGCAGAGAAATAGGAAATGGAAATTGGAGTTCATGGTTTAGCACAAAACCATGAATTTCGTGCTGATCATGGTAAAGCACAAAACCTCAAGAACGAAAAAAGAAAAATAACGAGCGCCACAGAACTATTTAGTATCCTAAAAAAAATTGTTAACAAGTGCAGAACGAAAACGACACTGTAGTCAAGCCCAAAGAAAGCGCACTGTTTGGATATTATGCAGATGGAGATACGAAACAAATTTTGCCGCTACAAGAGGTACTGAGCTATATATATAGGCTATGTTTGGTAAACCTATCTTATATAAGATAGATTATAGCATTTAAGTGAACTTTGAGCTCATAACCGGTAACGCTTACTTATGGCTGAAAAAGCTAGCTTATATGATAAAAATATTTGTAAAATTAGTTGATAAACTAGCTGAATAAAAATTTCAATGGACTTATTTGAAAAGCTATCCAATTAAGCTTGTTGGATAATTTCCCAACCCAAGAATACATGAAACTTATATGCTAATCAAATAAGTTATAAGCTAACTTATATATGCTTACCAAACACAATCATATATAATCTGCCATGCACATACATATGTACCCTGGCTCGATTAACATAGACAAATGCTAACAAGTTTTCTTCGCCTTCACTGGCATATACAGACAAAGCCATACCTTGAGGATTGGATTGGTTTAAAAATCTTGCATAAGAGTGGACGTCTCAAGTTCATCACTGTGACTGGCGGTCATGTTAAGATATCGGATAGTGATATCAAAAAGCACGTTGTTCCATACCTTCGAGAGAAGCCACGTTGGATGTGGCTTGGACGTGAGCCCCCTAAAGTCGGCAAAAGCATTTAGGCTATAAATGGATCATTATCGAGAATAAAGGGTCGATTTAGAGCACGATATAAAAGATGTGCTTTATGTGTTCTCATGTTGTATCCAGTCGTGTCTTGTCATGATATATTTCGAAGATCATTTATTCCCAAGTATTTCAACTTCTTTCGGTTGGTTATGTTAGGCTTTTATGTGGATATAAATTGGATGCTTTCATTTTGAGGGTGGGTACATTTGCAAAATGAAAGATTTGATGTTGATTAGTCTCACAAGGTATGATTTGAACTTCATCACAACAAATGCCTTTCAAACAAGTTTAGTGTGTTTACATTTGCTACAATTGGTTGTAAAACTTAAGTTGCTCATGTTGTACAACACAAATTCAGTCATTAACCACCATAAATTTTGTCACCAAGTCGAGTAAAGGTGAACTGTTTCAAGAACACAAATTTAATATTGAAAAGTCAGGGGATGTTAATGTAATGTACAAGACCCAAAAAAAAAAATATTAATGGTATGTTTATACTCGTTAACTACAGGTTTTATAATTAGCTCCACTAAAACATTGGAATAAATGTGAGATGGATTTATCTTTTTAGTCCTGCTCGATACTTCTCAAAAGTTTGTGAAAATTTTAAGAAGATGAATAAAGAAAAATAGGGTTCTCCAAACAATTGAATCACTTTTTTCAAAACATGTAACAGGGATGACAGTGACTTTAATTTTTATCGCTGGACCACCTAAAAGTCACGTAAGATTTCCTGGTCGATCACTGAAAATATGTTCACCTAAATTCGAGTTGTACTGATCATGCTAAAGCACAAATCCTGTCTACAACAAGCATATCCTCGTACCTGAAAAGTTTGCAGGTTCCTCCCAAAGCTCAACAACGAGCAGCCTGAACGAAATCCTGTCTACAAGCAACAATTGACCCACGTGACTAATTTTTTACTGATCATGTTAAAGCATAAATCCTCAAGAACCAAAAATATCGAGCACCACAAAATTATTTAGTATCGTTAAAAAATGAAAACAACTCCGAAATCATGTGCGTGCAGAATGAGAATGTCACTGTGGTCAAGCCAAAAGAAATTGTATGGTTCAGAAATTATGCAGATGGAGATTAAAAACAAATTTTGCAGCCACAAGAGGTACTAAGCTATACAACCCACCACATACATACCTTGGGTCGACAAATGCTGAATCAATAGACACTGAGTTCTCTTCAAATTCACGGCATGCAGACAAAGCTATACCTTGAGGACTTTATTTGTTTGAAAATGTTGGATAAAAGTGGACGGCTCACGTTCATCAAAGTGACTGGCAGTCATGTTCAACTATCGGATGACGATATCAAGAAACCACATTGTTCCTTACCTTCAATTTGAAGATAATATAAAAAATGATACAACTGTGTTTTGATTTCATCAATAATTACATGAGAATATTTCCAATACTGCGATTACAACTTTCGAAGACATGTATCTGTCTGGACCGTTTTATCATGTCAAACAAAGCAAATCCACCATGTGGAAGCTCCTATTATATTTACAAGTATACAGAAACTGAGTCTCAATATACAACGTAACTCATCGAGGATCTCTTTCATATGACAAGGTAATAGTGTATATTTTTACATAATTCTACTTACAGTAAACAACCTGTACATCGTATGGCACGAAATGTAAACCCAACCACCTCATCACACTAGTCCACTTGTCGCTCGATTGTGAAGTCTTTTGACCACGGTGACAGGTGGGACCCACAGGTAGGCGAGTCCGGTCAAGGCAGCTTCACTCACAATTCTGACCTGGCATACCAAGTTCACATCACCCCACACACTATTTCTAACAAACTTTGATGCATTATCAGCATCATATCCATCAAGATCCGATTCTGTTATAACAACCATGGAGCAATCGTCAAATGAGAAAAAATCACGTGATCTCGGGCTTCTGAAGGACAGATTAATCGTGTGGCTCGATATACGACCACCATTGACCACCAGAAGATAGAATTCTTGAACAGCCTGTAAATCATGGTTACGAAGTGTAATTAAGGAATATGACTCCTTCACATTTGAAGGAGGGACCCATTGCCAATTAAAATGGGTCCAATCTTAATATTCCATCATCATTTAAGTGGGGTCTCATTATTCAAGACATAAACCCAAGTTGATTTAATGAAATCTCAGTACCAAATAAGAAAATCCACAAACCTTCCATTGGGAAGATGCCAAGAGGACCCTGGGTCGTATTGACTTCACATACTCAAATGCAGTGGTAGGCATCATCTGCTTATATTTCACCTTCATTTAAAGAAGGGGTAAATGATGAGCAACTTAAAGGGACAAAAGGGAGATAAATATTAATATATTTCATTCGCTACTCACTAAATAACAAATGACGATGGTTGTGCTGCGTCCACGACCAGCCTTGCAATGTACATATGTACTTTGCTTGTGTAATGTGTTTTCTTGTATTTAAGAGAGAAAAAAGATGGACACAAAATACATCAGTTTATAGACAAAGCAAAATCTGTTTTAAGAGAAAGAAGTAAATTAGATTGAAAAATGTGGAGAATGCATAAGATCTTAGCACATCTCATCAAATTGAAGAACACCTCCTAAAACTACAACCCATGAAAGGGCCTCGGATGATGAAACTATATCACAATCATTTTATTTTATTTTTTAATAAAAAAACATGAAAAGTTGTGTTGTAGATAAAACAACAAATACCAATCATATTTCATGCCAATAATATCATCACTAGTCGCACAACAGGACCGAGGTGATGATTACAAGATGATGATTGGTTGGTAGATACATGTAAGCATACTAAGAGATAAGGCAATTTAATTGACATGGAATAAAGTACACCACGCGTTTAGTATTCATCAAATGCCACTATTTTTGCAGAGAAAAATGTTTAAATTCCTAAGGCTTCACTATTCTGCTGACTGCCAGCAGCAAAGCCTAATGACAAATTACTGCAGATGTGAAAAGTATACGAGTACAGAAAATATGCTAAGAACACTGAACAATCCTTACCATGAATGAAATCAACAGCCTGACATATATCCGCTAGTGATGGAGCAAAGAGGTAATCTCTTGTGGGAAGCACCAAGTGATGTATACCATGAGCCTATACAATTAAGAGCCACCAGTCAAAAAGTAGAATAAAAAAAATGTAATATTAATAAATAAAATAAAAATAAAAAAAGGCTAAATAATAAACTTGGTTCACAAATCACAATCACTCATGTACAATCAATAAGAATTGCCTGTTTGAAGTAACACTTTGGATCTTTTGGGAGGGGAAACACTATGGATCATTCATTAGATAACCAATGAGATTGATCAATAATATTAGTTCACTACTCAACTGTTATCATGGTCAAATGCAAAAAATTACTTTGCTAGGTCCATAAATTTCTGGTTAAAGTCCACGAAAAAATAATAAACAAATAAAAATGCAAGAGAAGAAAATGGCACACATACCTCGACAAAGATGTAACAAATGTGAATCTATTAGGCATCGCGTCTGATATAGAAAAGTTTACGATCCCTAAGTCCTAACACACATTCTATGACAAGAAATTCGGTTGGGCACACAATGAATCGAAACTCCTGTTATCCAGGGAAAAGAGTTCTCTGATAGCACATGGTTAAGTGTTAACAAAACTATTCACATCATAAAATATGATGATAGAGTTTCAGAAACGGGCAATCAAACAAATTCAAGATTCAGATTTGATAATCTCATGCATGTCCTTGGTTTCCCCTTTTCAGATGTTTAATCAATGTCATGTCCATCATCAAGACAAATCAATGGAGAATATTGAAACCAGAAACAACATTCCACATACCAAATATAAGAATACATGTGAAGCGAGAACTCACTTCATAGAGAGAGGATGGTACTAAAGTCTCATATGACTCATTCAAGGTGACAACTCCACTGACACCAAGCTCCTTCAGCCGGTGGATGTCTGAGGGGAATGGTACAGCACCTAATAGTACGTACTAGAAAAAAGAAAAATAAACAAATTAATAAGATTTAAATATGCCAACCTCCTCAAACTTCCGGAATGTAATTCATTTTGATGTTTTATATTCACATTCAGACAAGTTGAAATAAAAACCAATATGAAAGAAACAAAGCTAAAAACAGTTTCCTTAAAAGATGTACAGACTTAGGTAATACATTTGCCTTCAAACACATCTTGTTTATTGTATAATCGATACTTATTACTATAAAGCTATCAATACAAACATAATATATATTCTACATGTCGTAATTCCATATTAGAATGTAGTTTCCAAAACGCAGAACTGTTATTCATATGAGATGCGAACATCTGATTCCAACTAGAAAAGCAACAGACACTGACAGGCACACATCAACTAACTAATGCAAGCGACTAACCTATCAAGACCAAGAACTTAAACAATATTTAACAACCAATGTAGTGATGTACACATGAAATGATGATAAACAAGAAACAATATTATTAAGAAACTAAGGACTGAAGGGTGTACATTATCAATCCAATCCCACCAACGGAACTCAGCCTGAATCTTATTCCTGATCACATTGTAAAGCAAAGTCGGGTAAAAGAGGGCCCGTGCCCCTGCCCCAACTAAAATCCTCTTTGCATCCAACCATAGCACAATTGATCCATCAGCTTTACAGAGCAAGTCCACAGAAACTGATAGCTCCTTCTCCTCCTCTTGCTCTCTGTCCTTCAATTCCTCTATATGCATAGCAAAATCTTCAAGGTACAATCTTTAGAACTATAATCCCAATAACCTTAATTATCCTCTTCACCCCTACAGAAAATAACAGAATCTTTGAATTTCATCGAATTTACGAATTCGGAACACAGATCCCAGACCACGATTTCCAAAATTAGACAGGATCGATCTAATTTACTCAAAAATCAGATACTAATCACCTGTATGCTACATGTATCGCATGCTGAAATATAGCGATCGAGGGAATTGTAGATCTATGCCATCTTTTGCGAAATGGGTGGGAAAAATATTGCTTCAAGGAACCAAAGACGGTGGAAAGGAAACCGAATTCATGGGCCGATTGGCATCGACTCTAAAGGAATTTGGATCAAATGAAGAATCTCAAAATTTGTAAAGGAACCCTAATAGTCAATTCAAGTATTTTTTTTTTTTTTTCAACTGTATCCCAAATGCATTGCTTCTCCTCTTTCATAGTCTCATTGTCCTCCTATGAAGTAACATAAAACTACTCCAAGGCAAATTTCTCAATTAAGAGCTCCAATACTATGATTTTGAAAGGCAATGATTTTTAATACATGTCAATTAATGACTAGTATTGATAATCGTGCGAACGTACAGGGTACAATATAAAATATATTTTTTATTTAAATATTATAAAATTATTTAAAACAATATAAAATTATATTCTCTACAATATCTTATTCAGTAATAATATGATATTTATTTATTTACTCTTATTGTTAATTTCTATTTTTATATATTTTTTTGTAGTTTTTTAGCTGTTTAGTATATAAATTTTATTATATTTAAGTTTATAAAATATTATAAATGTGTAAGATCATATGATATTTGCATACAAATTACTTATATGTACTTATAAAATTTTCGTTTATCATAGTCTTATAATTTTTTCAACAATTCATAATTTACACATTGCTTGATAATTGACAACGTTTAACCCATAATATTTATCTTCCGCTATAGTTATTAAGTGCATTAAATGTTAAAAATTTTGATAAATAATTTTTAGTTTTTAGTAACATTAATCCTTATGCAACACACAATTTTTTTATGGTTAAATATTTTATTTTTATGTTTTATTTTTTATTTATATTTATTTAATTCATTTTTTCAACCTATATAATGAAGTTACATAGTATCTATTCGAATATTTAGAGATATTGTATATTTCCATAATTACCAAGTGCTATAATTTAAATTATTATACATTGATATTTTTATTAACTTATTTTTTATTTATAAAATAGTATACAAGAAAAAAAATATATTTTTTTAAAAATTGTATAGTTTTTTAATGTACATAGATACTTCTAAGTTGAAATTATATTTCTGAATTGCACCTGACCATCAAATTTTATTTTTATTAGTATATTATTTAAATTTTCAATAGTATATATTGTCATTGCATAGTTAAATTGACTATATTTTAGAAACTTTTATTAATATTTTAAATTATATATTAAATAATAACGGTTTAAACATAGTTAATCTGATTATTTTATTCAATATTTTAAACTTCTGAATAGTGAATATAATTAATTAAATTAATACATATAACCATAAATAATAATATATTTAATCAAATCAATTTCCATAATAATTTTTTGAATTGTGTCAAATAAATTGCTATTAAATTATTATAAGATCTTATTGAAAATATATCTAATAAATCTACGGTCAAAATTTCAATTTAAGCCAATTTGTAGTTAACGAGTAATAGTCATTGAGTGTATAAAAATTAATTATGTTTTTCATGCATAAGATTTGCTAATAAATAAATATTAATTCAATGCCAAATATAGACGAAAAAATTTCCCACCCAAAATCATGTCAATTATGGCAATAAAGATTGATCCATTATATAGATATAGATATAAATATAGGTTGTAATGTTAATCCACATATAAATAATGTTAAAAGACTAAAAATTTGAATCAAACTAGTATCTTCAATGTATCAACTGATAAGAAGTTATTTGTATAGGTTGACCAATTATAATAATTCACTAGTATTCGACTCTGTGCATTTGCACAGATGTAATAAAATTAAATATTATAAGTTATATTTATGTATATAATATTAAAATTATAAGTTATATAATTGTATTATATTTCAAACATATAGTATTATAAGTTATATTTATGTATAAAATATTAAAATTATAAATTATATAATAGTATTATATTTTAAAATTTGGTCATTGGTTAAAATAAATAGTACACACGATTTGATTGTATACGAATCACTATATTGATTGCATGAAATGTAATAAATATATACTTTTTATAATTTTGAGTGATCATGACCAATTAATTAGCTGAAAAATATTACATTTATTATAACAATTGCTTATGTGATTTTAAGAAATTTTACTATGACATAAAAAAAATTAATTTTTTAATAAACATCTTCATCATATAAAAAGATATTGATTTTAGTGTAAAATATAATTTTATGTAACTTGCATATATTATTTAGTATAAAATATAATTACTAATTTTAATATTAACTATTATATTATTCAATAAAAAAATATAATTATTAATCAATTATCATAAAATATAATGATTTTTGTCTTAATCAACCCAAAAAAATGTAATGAAATATTTTTTTATTAATGAGATTGGGTGTATTAATGCCACATAAATAAAATTTATTAGGTTCTATTTATTAGGTTTTATTAATGATTTGCCACATAGGTAAAATTTATTAAGTTTTATTTATTAGGTAAAATTTATTGCTTAGCTAGCAATTATATATATATAGATTGATACGAGAATAATAAAAAATTAAACCAAATATAAAGTGAATTAATGAGTTATCATATTTAACATGGTGTTAGATATTAGAAAATGTGTTCAACATTGTCAACATTAAATGACATCCACATCATAATAAAAGAGTTAATAACAAGATGCATTGGAGAATAAATTAGTAACAAACTTTTAAAAGTTGATGATATGAATAATTTTTTACAATGTCAAAAGTCACATTGGAAATGCTCTAAGGAAATATAAGGAAGAGTTGATTGGATACCAAAAAAAAAATATCGATCACATCTCAAATTTAACTTAATTAACTTTAATTCAAACTCACTATCTTCAATATTATTAATATAATAAAATAATATCAATCAATTATTCTTACAAATTACAACTCATTTGACCCTTCACTGTTGCTGAAAATGCCCCTACGAACTTACCAGGAAATCTTGGACCAAAATGAAAAGAATCAAAAGAGGAAATTTGATTCTGAACGACTTTTACAAATTTTGTGCCAGTTGGGAACATAGACCAAATCACCAATGTGGCCTTTTCATGGCACAACATTCTTTTCTTCATATGTAATTTTTCTCTTAAAAAAAAAGAANGCACAAGGAGTCGATCCCCAAGATATCGCTCGCTGGCCCTCCCAGCTCCAAGTTGGCCCCACCTATCCAACCGCTGGTTCCCACCGAAGTGAGTCGATCCCCAAGTGATCGCTTGCTGGCCCTCCCAGCTCCAAGTTGGGCCCCACCTATCCAACCGCTGGTTCCCACCGAAGTGATCGCTCGCTGGCCACCCAACTTCATGCTGGCCCCACCTATCCAACCGCTGGTTCCCACTGAGTTTCAGCCTCCCACACTGCCGCTTATAGTCCTCAGTATTAATTGTTCCACCATTGCGCTCCGGAGGGCTCGAACCCTTGACCTCATGTCAAGGGTGCCTCACTCTTACCACTAGGCCAAGAGATCATTGGCTTGATAGAGTTCACTTTGTATCAAAGAGTAGGTGTTATTCGAGCCAACTTGTTGAGTAGCTCATGTCCCAACTCGTGTCCATTTAATAAATAGCTGACTCGTTTTGTTTGATAAACCAAAAGAAAAAAGGAAAAAGTTCAACTCGAGATTAAATTGTTCAAGTTTGTGAAAGCTTGATTTGTTTCACCACGTCAAATAAACCTAAAATTCCGAACAAATTGTTTATGAACACAATATATTCAATAGCGAACTAGTAACTAGTCCGATTGTTTATTTAAATCCCCTACAATTTTTTTTTTTTTTTTTAAAAAAAGCAAGATGTTTAAGAACAAGTTCGGCCCGGCTCGACTCTTTTAAATAAATAAACGAGCCAAACTTGAGATTTTGCGAGTTTAATTCAACTGTGTTCGTAAACTACTCGTTTCGAATGTTAGCTACACTCATACGCATTTTTGCCTGTAAGGTGTGGAAACCCAATCTTATATCAGAAAATTAAAGGTTCAGCTTGGTGAGCTACTTGCCAATTAGTTTTAGTATGCAACTTCATTTGTGCTTGTATGTTGGATTTGATGGAGAACTGATTTTTGAGTTGTTGGTCCTAACAAGCCCCTCGTTTCCTTAAATTCCTTTTTTTTTGTTTTTTAAAAAAAAGGTTACTTTCCAAGAGCTAGCAGAAGTAAATAGCAGCAACTAGGAAAGCCGAAAAACTGATCTGTTTCAGAATAAATACATAANACAAAAAAAAAAAAAGAAGAAAAGCATCATCACTACATTCAAAATAAGCTCCACAAAATCTCTTATGTTCTTCATTTTCATTTTCTTCCCCAAAAACCTCAAGCTCTCGCAACTCCCATGGCGAAGCCCCGAAAACACTCCCCAACCGATCCGAAAGTTAGCAAGTTTTACCGTCATTTTCTGCTTAAATCTTCCCTCATAACAGTCTTAATCCTCCTTCTCTCTCTATTCCCCTCAATCGCCCCCGAATTCATCACCCGAACCCTACACGCCGCCAGCTGGGAGCTTCTCCAGCTCGTCTTCATCGGCATAGCCGTTTCGTATGGACTTTTCAGCCGAAAAAACGAGCAAACGGCGAAGCCCGAAAGTCCGCGGGTCGAAACGTTAAATTCCCAGTACTTTAGAGTCGAGCCCGTGGTTGTGGTGACCAAATTACAACAGATAACCCCCGGAAAAAAGCCCCTGTTTTTGCCGGTCAGGGGCCTCAAACAGCTCGTGCAAGATTCAGGGGATTTCGGGCCGGCCGAAAAGCCAGCCTTTTTAAAGCCGGAGATTCTAGAAACCGGAAATAAAAATAAATGAGAATGAGGATATAAAAACGAACTCGGGTTTTGCGGCCAATGATGACGTGGCGAAATTTGTGGGTGTGATTGAAACTAGCGACGAAGATAATGTTGGTAATAATATTATTGATGTGGACAAGAAGGCGGACGAATTCATAGCTAAGTTCCGGGAGCAGATAAGGCTGCAGAGAATCGAGTCGATTTGAAGGTCGGCTAAGCAATTTGGCAGGAAGGCTTTCGATTAGGTGAAGATGGTTTTCTTTTCACATTGAATGTTTCACTATATCTTTTTTTTTTTTTTTTACATTTTTCTTATAATGTGCTAGAATCTTTTGGCTTGCGTAGCTTGAGCTCGGGTTTTTAAAGATAAATGACACCATTAAGTTTGCGATTCTTGGATATATAGTGTGTTTCAGCTAATTAGTTGGTCATGAGCGAAAGTGTGAAACATAATGTTTAGTTACATTGGAGCTTGATCTGAAATTGATATAAGGAGCTTGCTCACATTTGAAAAATGATTCAAGTTTTCTAGTTAAAGTTTATACTATGCTGACACAGTTTGATTTATTTTGGTTTTTAAAAATGTCCTTTTGTCAACCCTAAAGCGGCTTGATCTTTGCTAGTCGAGCCACTGATAGATCTGGCCACACGAGATGAGATCGAAAATTGTTATGGAATGACTTTAGGGCTGTTCAGGGAAGGATTTCATTGCCTTGGATGCTCCTTGGGGATTTCAATGCCATTCTAAAATCGGAAGAGAGAATTAGAGGCGAGAGGGTCAATAACCGGGACACCAGGGATCTTAGAGAAGTTTGTGATGAATTAGGGTTGTCGGACGTTCCCTCAAGCGGACTTTACCACACTTGGACCAACAATCATGTGTGGTCGAAACTTGATATAGCGATGGTGGATACTAAATGAGAGAATGGCGACCTATTCGCACAAGCGACATTTCTGGCACCGGGTATTTCCGATCATTCATCGTGCTTAGTAACTACATTTGAGGTTCAAAGCAACAGTGGATCACCGTGGCGATTCTTTAATATGTGGACGACCCACGAGAAGTTTTTGTCGAGTGTTCAAGATAGTTGGAATGAAGGAGGTGGGGGCTCGAGGCAATTCCGCATTGTGTCAAAAAGAAAGAACCTTAAGAGCTCCCTTAAGGCTCTTAATGAGGAGGCCTTCTTGCACATCTCCTCCCGAGCCAAAGAAGCGAAGTATGCCCTCGAGTCCGCTCAACAAATGCTCCATGATCAACCCGATGACTCCGACACCAAGTCTAAGATGGACTCTCTTAGATTTGAAGCTCTTAAGTTGGCCAAAGCGGAGAAGCTCTTCTACCAACAAAAAGCCAAATGCAACTTTCAGATCAAAGGAGACAAGTGCACCAAGTTCTACCACGCCTTGGTAAAAAAGCGATCGAAACGAAACTTCATCGCCTCGATCAACCGAGAAGATGGCTCAGTCACCGAATCCGCAGATGAAGTGGCAAAGGAGTTCATCCATTACTATGAGTCTCTCTTGGGTACCGAAATAGAAACGGAGGAAGTTGATCCAATAATACTCCGATCGGGACCGTGTGTTGGAATCGACGACTGTAGGGCTCTTACTACCCCGGTCACTGAGGATGAGATCAAGAATGCACTCAGAGACATTGATGGTGGTAAGTCCCCGGGACCGGACGACTATACATCTATCTTCTTTTTGAAAAGTTGGTCCATCGTTGGGGCCGATGTCCTAGCGGCTATACAAGAGTTCTTCTGCACCGGCATGCTTCTCAAGCAATGGAACCATACAACCCTCACGCTTATCCCGAAATCCTCACACTCTTCGCAAGTCACGGACTTTCGGCCTATTGCGTGTTGCAACACGATTTACAAAATATGTTCCAAAATTCTAGCTAATCGAGTTAGAGCTTGTTGGGATTTGTGAGGATCTCGTTATGTACAAGTCACGAATTCAATAGCAAACGTAAATCTATGCGCAGCGGATCTAAAGGTTTGACGTAGAGAACTTACGGCTTAATATTTATGTAGATCTGGTTCACCACGAACGGTTGACCGCAATTGATTGACCGCAAATCATGTCTTGGGTTGCACGAACAAGATCATATCAAAATCGGATCAAACTGATGCAAACAGATCAAAACGAAACTTTGCAGCCTGGGAGATTTTGGCGGCGCGTGAGGGCGCGTGAGACGTCGGATTCCGGAGATCTTGGCAGTGATGGAAAGCTCTCGTCGAGACGGTCGTCTGGGTATGCTGTATGTCTCAATCGGACTTCCGGTTAGTTCTGTAGGTCAAAATATATTTCATCTCGGTTTACCTACAGATCTTCTACTGTATTACTCAATACACCCTTCTTCAACTTGTACCAGTGGAGCAACAAGAAGAAGATAAAGCTCGAATGAGATCTAGAGAGAGAGAAAGGCGTGGGGCGTGTGTTTGTATACTGACAGATGTCTTTTCTTCTCATGAGCTTAATGATGTATATATAGAGCTACAGTAGGACCCTTAAGAGATTAGAAAAAGGGCTCTTTAATTAATTAGACTAATTGTGGGCCAAGCCCACTCCTCTAATTAATTAAATAACATTAATGGGCCACCAACATTATATTATTGCACTCCCTTTTCCTAGCCCAAATTACATTTGAGACTCCAATAATAATTACTCGATTTACCTCCCAACGTTTAAGATATAATGTCCATTAATTAATTCGATTACTGACAATCAAGAATTAATTAATTTATTATTATTTCACCGAAGCTAGCGCTCGTTCATCACATTCTTATTATGCCGGAACTTAATCCACCTGCAGGGTTTACATTAACAATCCTTCATGAACTCACTCTGGGGACATCGTCAAACTAACGCACATGGTGACTGTAAATATCCTAACAGCACATCCTATATATAATAACATTACCCAAAACAGTAGGAATATTAATCCAGTGAACTGAATCTCACCCATATGAATCAAAGTAATATATATTATATATATCTGTCTGTTTAATATCTTACGGGTTCAGAGAACGCAGTAATTAACCGAGGCCTAGTTCATTTACGAAGATCAGTATAAAATGAACTTCTCATCTCTGGGATCCTGTTCAATACATAAATGAACAAGTGCAACTAATCAGTCAAGACAAATTGTAAGTTGACACTACAACCGTTCGGATGGAGTGTTCATGTCCATCTAGGTTGTGAACAACTATTCTTGTTCGCAAGTGACTGATAGAGTGATTTTCGGTTCGCCCGATGACGACCCATCTATCTAAGTGCAGAACAACAGAACGTAGAACTTGTTTAATCAAACATGATTCTCATTCATAAAGGGTAAATGTGTAATAACATGCAAAGCCAAGCTTTCAGTATATAACACTAACAATCTCCCACTTATACTTAAAGCTTTCGCTTTTACAGTATAGTCCTATCAATACGTTATTTTAAAAGACCTATGTTGATCCTATTGCCATGCTCATGACTCCCATTCCTTCCACGTGTTTGACGAAGACCTTCCCCGACAAACTCTTCGTGAAAGGATCAGCTAGGTTGTCCTCTGACGCAATCTTGGCAACATCAACGTCTCCTCTACCAACGATATCCCGAATCAGATGGTATTTGCGCTCTATGTGTTTGCTTGCCCTGTGGGCTCGAGGTTCTTTTGAGTTCGCTACTGCTCCACTGTTATCACAGTACACGGTGATACCACGTGGCAAACTCGTATAACCTCTAAGTCCACTAAGAAGTTCCTGAGCCAAACTGCCTCTTTTGCTGCCTCTGAGGCTGCTATGTACTCGGCTTTCATGGTGGAGTCTGCCACGCATTTCTGCTTAGCACTCCTCCATGAAATGGCTCCACTTCCCAAGGTGAACACATAACCTGAGGTTGACTTACTTTCATCCCTATCTGACTGGAAATCGGAATCACTGTAACCCAGAGGTAACAAGCTGCCTGCACGGTAAACTAACATGTACTCCTTAGTCCTTCTCAAGTACTTGAGTATATGCTTCACCGCAGACTAATGTTTCCGTTCTGGATTACTTTGATATCTAGCTACCATGCCAACGGAGTAGCTAATATCCGGCCTAGTGCATAGCATTGCATACATGAGACTTCCTACTGCCGAAGCATAAGGAACTGTTTTCATCTCCTCTATCTCCTTAAACGTCTTAGGAGACATCTCCTTAGATAGAGGTATTCCATGCCTGAAAGGTAACATGCCTTTCTTAGAATCCTGCATACTGAATCTGGCCAAGACAGTATCTATGTATGAAGACTGGGATAAGCACAACATTCTAATCTTACGGTCTCTAATGAGCCTAATACCAAGAATGTGTCCTGCTTCACCTAAGTCCTTCATATCAAACTGTTTAAACAACCACACCTTTACGTCTGACAACTTCTTCTTACTGTTTCCAATAAACAGTATGTCATCTACGTAAAGCACAAGAAACACCACCACGCTCCCACTGATTTTCTTGTAAACACAGTGTTCATCCGGACATTGAGTGAACCCGTACGACTGGATCACCTCATAAAAACGGATGTTCCAAGATCTCCAAGCTTGCTTCAGTCCATAAATAGACCGATTAAGCTTACACACTAGATGCTCACGTCCTTCAGCAATGAATCCCTCTGGTTGCTGCATATAGATGTCTTCCTGCAGGTTCTCATTAAGGAAAGCTGTCTTGACATCCATCTGCCAGACCTCATAGTCCATATGAGCGGCTACAGCCAAGAGAATCCGAATGGACTTAAGCATAGCTACTGGCGAAAAGGTCTCATCATAATCAATACCCTCGATCTGGGTATAACCTTTCGCAACAAGCCTAGCTTTAAAGGTTTGCACCTTCCCATCCAATCCTCTCTTTCTCTTATAGATCCACTTACATCCAATGGGTCGTACTTCATCGGGTGGTTCTACAAGATCCCAAACCTGATTGGAGTCCATTGACCCCATTTCAGCTTTCACTGCAACATTCCATGAATCTGCATCTTTATCTTGGAGTGCCTCATCGTAAGTTCTTGGGTCCGATTCTAGGCCTCCTGGAACTGAGTCTGATGACTCTCCAAGACCTATCCATCGGTCGGGAAATGAGAAACCCTCCCACTGCGACGAGGCACTGTCTGCACTGGTACACTCTCAGTGTGCCGTGTTGCAGTATTATGTGATGTATCTACTTGCGCACTCGGTGGGGAACCA